TATTTTCTGAATTTTTTCCTCATACGGCTTGCCGGTGGGGCCGCTAGCGTACGAATCACTACGTCTTCATCCTCTCTCAAGGCTGCCTATTCTGCTTTTCCCATACTCCTTTGTCTACTCTTTATTCCACCGCTTGTGACTTTCCCGATCATTTTGGCTCTCGTGCGAATCCTTGCATCACATAAAGAACGCTCCAACGCCTGCAGCGCGCACTAATGCTAACGCGGATTACGGTAGCAGCGAATCCGCGGCCTTTGTTATCTGTGTTGTGCGATCGGTGAGATCACACTGATCGCATATTGTAACCTCGGCCTTAGAAACCCTGTAACATGCCCGTCGATTCTCCGCGTCTCCTTGTGGGGATCCCTGAGGCTCGACTAAGGCCATATATCCCCTGCCAGCAGAGACGCAGAAGGTCGACGGCGTGAGCTTTCGAGTGGTCGCGTCACAGGACCCATCGAAAAACGACGGAACCTTTGACGAAATCCCTAAGAGGCCTCCTGCTGCACGTCGGGGATGGGGATATGTCCCCGAGCTTGGGATGCTTCACCGAGGTTGGGGATGTCCCCGATGGAACGCTGAGTAAGAGGACCCATCCCCGTCTTGGGGCTTGCTGCACCCGGCCCTTGAACAATCGACGATTTCCACGTGAACATATGCAGTGAATCCTGTTTCTTCTCCACTTCAGATATGAATGTACTAACAAGGTCTACAGAGCAACTGACATCCACGTCTCTCAAAGATCGTGTTACCGCAAAGACACGAAGCACTGTACCCACAGGTGGCACTAGGAAATCAAGGATTACCTCGTTGTGCGATCCGATGCCAATCACCCATTGCAACTTGCGTTTGGAGTTCAAAGCGGCACAGATTATGGCTTGAATAGTATGCGTTGTTAGCTCATTAAGCCGGTTCGGTTCCCATGCTAGAATCCACGTATGAGGTCTGAACTGAAATCACAATTCATTAAGAGTCGCACAACATGATAGAAACGATTTCTTATAGTTGCGTAGGTTCCACCGTAACCGCGCTTGCGGTGGGGCGCGCAATGCCACACCGTTTTTGCTTTCGTCGCCTTCTCTGTGCACTCCACGACGAGAGCCACGATAAGAATATGGCCGTCAGAAGACACGAAACGCCATTGCTTTAAAAGGTAGAACCGTGACAATGCCAAGGTTCAGCTGCAAGGCAGTGCGGCCGTGAGTGGGGCCTAGCTCTTCCGCGAGGCGCGAAAATCGTGCACAGCGTCCGTCTCGCCACTTACCGCTTGCGCGGCAAGGCGGGTCCGCAGGAATTTTAGAGGGCTGCCTCTGGGTGGTCGCGGAGAATAGATGCTACACTGCTCCAGCTTGGTCCCGATAAAAGGAACCTCTGTCACGTGTACACGTGCGGTGGTCGGATTGCGCGCTCCAATGCTCAAGCTGCGCGCCCCAGTGCCACGTGGTTACGGTGGAACCTGAGCAACCATACTGATGAATCGTTCTTGTCACAACAAAAATGAAAAATTGGTTTCTTGCCTTGTAATAAGTTCCATACAGGAACGTCTCGTATATGGAGTCGCTGAGTAGCTCGTTGGTCCCTAGTTCCGCGAACGTCGAGCAACACGCATTTTTCAACTTGAATATGACTAGTGTTAATTTCAGAGAGCTGAGACGAGTTAATATAATATGGGACATAGACACAGAATAACGTAATGATGGCACCGAAGTGCAATTCGCAATGAAACAGGTATTTCTAAAAAATATCAAATGTGTAGTAACAACCAATCGAAAATATGGCCCGATATGGCCGCCTTCGGCGCGCACAGTCGCTCGTTCCTTGGGACCTTAAGATCAGTGAATGCTGGTAAGACTTGCAAACGTAGTTAATGCTTCTGAACTACGATACTCGCCATAAAACTTCAAAAATCCATCTCATGAGCTCACTTTACGACGAAAAAGTTGTATCTCACGAAAAAATCAGCAGCAAAAAATGAGAGGCCAGATTAAAGACCTTTGACTTCTCCGCCGAACAGCTCCTGTCACACTCCATCTGAGGGCTGCTTACCCGGTCTAGGCGGCATGTTGTGAAGAAGCTACTGAAAAACCCGATCCTGGGAGTCCAAATTTGCCTGCGCACAGTTGCTACAATTCTTTGAGAAGAACGTATGAAATGAATGGTGAAGCCCGACCCAATAAGGTACTATTTTCTCTTGTTATTAGGTGCCGAATTATTGCTGTTCCAACGAATTTTACGTAAATTCAAAGATGACATTTATAATGCAACGACCAAATAATCACAAGCTCCCTGGGAACGTAAACAGTTTGTTAAGGTTAATAGCATACATATAAAAATTAATAATCTATGATTCCTCTATGTTCGAGCGCAGCACAGAAGACTCCCTGGTATACTGAAAACAAGGTCTCGAAGCCGCATTTCGTCAATTTCTTCACAAGCTCGATAATCGCCTGATTTCGCTCTTCTCTCTGGAACTGACAATTATCGTGTAAGCCTTTCCAACTACGATGCCCTAGAATTTTTCCATCGAAAAGGGATCGAGACTGTGGCTAGCCAACCATTATGCTTTGGGGTTGCAGCCAGTCATTCGTTGAACGGCTTACGTGAACGGCAGCATTGTCTTGTTAGAAACATTAAGATGAAGCTGGCTTGAAAAGGGCACTAGGCGTCGCCTAAGACGGGGAGCGTGCAACAGAATCGTCCGGGAGTGGCGCCGTCGCGCGCGGTTACTTGCGCGGCGCCGTAATGCGGCACTTCTTCGATGGGCGCGGCAATAATGGACTTTGTCGATTGGAGCACTCCACGAATGAATAAATTCTATCAAAATCAATCTAAGGTCACTAAGGTCTATCAATACAGAGTAGGGAATAGTGTCTTGGCGAATGGGATACGTTTCAGGCTCAAAGTACAATGGTACAAGTACAAAAAAGAAAGACGGTAGAGAAGATTAAACTCCGAAACTGCAATTCGTTGGAGAAATAGGTAAGGTATCAAAACTCGATAACTATCAGAGTGTAGCGGAAATGCAAGAAAGAAGGAGCTAAAATATTATTCTACCAAAACCTTAGCCATTAAAGACCAAAACCAATTAAACCGACCTCAATTAATACCAAATACAAACAAGAAACGCTTACTTGGGCAGCTCGGCGGTTGTAGCTGAGCACAGACGACTTCCATATCTTCGATACGATTCTTCGGTTTAATTGGTTTTGGTCTTTAATGGCTAAGGTTTTGGTAGAATAATATATGACGGAGGACGTGGCTTAGCGTTCCTTTGAAATTCAAATCGAATGACGCTCAACTCGTCCACTACAGTCGCGACGTCGCGGCCGCGACCACAAGCGCGGGTCTCCGGACGATTCTGTTGCTACACCCCTTCCCCCCCCCCCTCAAGAAGCCCTGGTGAGCTGTGGAGTCCATTCTACTGAACACGAAGGCTAATTCCAGCACAACATCATTGCAGAATGACCTCAAACCGCTACACTTCCTCCACCTAAATTGCGACGGCTGAAGGGGACCGGCTCAACAGGATGTTTGTAGGACCGCCGAATGTAAACTTCGTTCCATCCAAAAAGACGATATGAAATTATTTAGCTGTATGGTGAGAATGTGATGCAGGCTTACCTTCGCCCAATTTCTCCCTAGTTCGACTTTGCAAATTCAAGTCGTGCCTATCTGTGGCGTATCTGTGGAGCCTTTTCAAACGATGACCTTCTCGCCACTGCTCTTCAAACTGTAGTTTTCAACGCGGGATGGTTTCAATTCAGATCGGATCCGGTCCGATCAGGAGGTGCCGTTGGAAACAGCCCTGAATCTCTGCTCATCGTCGGATTTGGGCGTCTAGAGTCTGTTTATATAGAAACATCGAAGCTCTCCAAAAATCTTCGGAAGAAGCAGAGGGTTCTATCTCTCTAGAAATGGTTCTCATATTGAGCCCAGCTCCACGAAGAGCATGAATCTGAGCCTTCTCTAGAAGAGAGAAGACGGCACTGAACCATTGTGTTAATAAGGTTTGGAGATGCATTTGCTCATCATACTTACGTTATAAGCCTCTTGAAACAGTAATGTTCTTGTACTCCAAACTGGTTGCTCACTTTCTCAGAATGATCTTATAATCATGGGAAGGTGGAAAAAAATATTCGCAAAAATTCAACCAAAAAGCTGTAATAACCGGATTTGAACACGATGTTTATTTTCAGTAATCATTGCGGAGTGCAGCTGCAAGCACCGGTGCATAAGTCCGTTTCACCTATGATTAGCAAAGTGTTTTTAAGTTACTGGGTTGTAAGGTGCCATACCCTTATTTCTACAGGTCGGTCGGACTGTGAACAAGTTCCAATCACGCCTACTCTTACAAGCTACCCCTATTTCTACAGCTTTGCTCTATATTTGGATCACCTACTGCTACTTTGTGATAAATCTCATTCCAACACGGAAAATGTTGAGCTCTCAGCCAAACTATCCTACCATATATAATTCGCTAAGTATGTGTGTGTGTGTGTTTGTCACGAAATTCGTAGCTCGGGTCACAGCAACGATAGCGCCATGGTTCTTACATATGTTATAGGGGGTGGGATGGGGACACAAGTGGTATGTGATAGGAACTGATAACGACTGATAATAGCTGATAAGAGGGGCTAGAAAGCGAGCATCGCCAATTTCGTTTTGTCGTTCATATTGGTACTAGAGCGTCTATACTTACAAGTGTTATGTAGGGTGGTCCCGGGACAATGGTGGTACATGAATGGAAGCGATAGCAACTGATAAGGGCTGATAAGGGGCGTCAGAACGCAAAAGTCGTCGATTCCGTTACCCAGCTCGCGTTGACACCAGAGCAACCATGCTCACAGGTGTTATGTGGGGTGGGACGGGGACATTGTTGGATGGGTGATAGAAAGTGGTTACAACTGATAAAGGCTGATAAGGCGCGTCAGAACGCAAAAGTCGTCGATTCCGTTACGTGGCTTGCGCTGACACTAGAGCGTCCCTACTTACAAATTCTATTTGTAGTGGTACGTGCACACTGTATCATTGTATGACCAGCCTACTTAATAGCAGTCTATTGCATGAACTCAATCAAGTCTTCAGCAAATGATAACTTTCATTTCCTATCAAGAAAGCCAAACTCATTAAACCGCTAATCCTTTCGGGGTTCTAAATAATGGTGAATGTAAATAAATGATAAGCCTTAGCTCTTCACTTATGTAAATAGGCATAGTTCATTTTAATTTTGAGACTGACAGCAATCCTATTCACCGCTAAATTATCTGAATTCAAGAAAATGGCTGGATGTTTACAGTTGTGAGATAATTATGCCAGTTCAGCTCCAGACGTTATCACGCGTATTCTCGATGGACTTCAGCGAAACTGGGAAAGAGTAGGCGCTAACGAAAGGGCCTCATCTGATTTTCCATCAGTTTCACTAAAGCCTCCGTGTATGCGCGCGATACGGCGCCGCAAAACTGGTAATGAAATATACTAAATTAACTAACTTCACGAAGAAGGAAAGCTGCAGAAATCACTAAAAGCTCGTTTATCAAGCTGCATTTTGGCTGAGAGGTGAAAGAAAAAGAAGCATGAGGAAAAACCCACGCGATCTATACATCTTGAGAAAGTAACGCCTGTGATACGAAGCGGTGCGGTACTGTTCGTTCTTAAGAAAAACTAATATCAACGATGTGACTTGAGGACAGGAATAAAAGCTATACTTTTCGAAGATCATCTGGATTTTTCGTTTCCTCGCCTGTAATGAACACGCGATTGGCACCATATACAGGCTCCGCAGACTCCCTCAAACAGAGAATAAAATCATCGATATGCCAAGGTCAACTGTTGACGACTTACCATAACATAACACCACTCATGAGGGCCTGACCACCCAGGATGTAACTTATACTTAAAGGCAAAGTTCGGGCTCAGACCCACCTAAGAAGCCCTTACCATGGCTAGAAGTGCTGGGTACGCAAGTGCAAAGGTAGCGCCACCTTTCTACATCGAAACGCGTCACTAGGACCCTAGGCGCCATGGACTTCTAACAGACTCCACCAAACTTAACATGGTCCGCCCACCGTTCGATATCTTGTCTGCGTCGCTGCGTTGATCTGCTATGCTCCCTTTTCTCGGACTTCTCTACGACCAGTAGAGACCAGCCAGCATCCGACCTGCTTGCTCGATGTTCGGCGTTATAAGAACGATGTCGTCAGCAAAACGAAGGTGGTGTAGTTGCCGGCCGTCGACCTTCACTCCCATGTCTTCCCATTCCAGTTGACGCATGACGTTCTCGAGAGCGGCGCTGAAGAGTTTGGGCGAGATGGTGTCGCCCTGTCGAACCCCTCTCTTGACGTCGATGATGACCTCCTTGTAGAATGGTGAGATTCTGGTCGTAAAATTGCTGTAGATTTCATGGTTCTACGTGACTTCGATGACCGCTTCTGTCTCCACAGAGTCGAAGGCCTTCTTCAAGTCGATGAACGTGAGACAAAGCGGCATCTTGTACTCTCGTGAAACTTCAATGAGTCTTGTAACCGTGTGGATATGGTCGATCGTGCTGAACCCTCTTCGAAACCCTGCTTGCTCGCATGGCTGTCCTTCATCCAGTATTCTGCCGATCCTGTTAAGGATGACTCGAGTGAATAGCTTATAGATTACAGACAGCAGGCAGATTGGGCGATAGTTGCCAATGTCGTCCAGGTCTCCCTTCTTGTACAGCAACACGGTCCTGCTGGTTTTCCACGGAGTGGGTACCTTGCATTCCGACAGGTAGCGCGTGAAGAGTCGAGCCAGAGTTTTGATGATAACTGGCGGTGCATTCTTCAGATGTTCCGGTTTAACCCTGTCGAGACCGGGTGCTGTACGATTCTTCACCGACTTGATGGCGTGTCGGACTTCGGAAGAGAGAACTGAGGGGACGACGTATCCATCCTGTTGCAGTTGATAAGTAGGCAGATGGACATGGCTATCGAAGAGATCCGAGTAGAAGTCGTGGATGACATTCTTCTTCGGTATGCAAGGGTGTGATCTCACTGAAAAAGCCCTAGCCAGTGGCGAGGCTATGTGGTGCGACTCCAGGCGTGGGATAGGCGGTAAACTAAGACCAAAAGCCCGCAAAGCTCGCCCTGTGGAGCAGGTCGATTCAGTGAACGAACTCCCTTCCTTTGCAATGCAGTGTCGACTCATCTCAGCTGTCTGCATTCAGACGTCTCCTTGCACGCTTGTGCGCTCTGTGTGTGCGTAATGATATACATGTCAGCACAGACAAAAGCTTGCATGCAAGTGAATAGAAGTATACATGGAAAGACTGGGAGACAATTCGGGGCCGCCTCCGAGAAAGAAAACCCCATGTTCCGGCAACCTTAATACCTAACGTAAGTCTATCCTAACCCTTAAGACTAAGCCTGGCATACTACTCGTGAGCTGCCAATCTATGGCAGCATTGGGGACCGCTCAAGAGAGAATGCTAGAAACCGTAGAGCAATTCTAATATACACAAGTCATAAGAACAAGAAAAACTCTCTAACCGACCTTTTTTGCGAGAAGTCCGTCTGATCGAGTATGTCGCTCAAACTGCACGTCACCTTTGCAGCCGATTCTGAATATGCTGTATGGACAGCATTTAAGAGAGAAATAAAATCTGAGAACTGCTACAAAATTACCACGCTTTCGGAAACTTGGCGCAAACACAGTCTCTGAGCTGAACACCTTTTCGGGAGTGCTGAATTTGTCCAATGCCTCGTCGAAGTAAGGGATATAGTCATCGTCCTCCTGTAAACAACAAAAGAATCAGATGAACGAATCCACAAATCCGATGTTCAGAAAGCCGTCAGCAAATGCATGATTCCAAGATGACCTAATCACACGACATAGGATTCCACTTCCGAACCATGCTCGTGCTCCACGCGAGAAAGATTTCCTATTTCCAGTAGGTTGCTTCAAAAGTTCGAGCGTATTTTCTACTTCCTTTTGAGCCACATCAACATGCATCGTCACTATAGGTGACTTGTTGTCAACGAACAACAGAAGAGTGACCGCTTAACTTTCATGAGCCTAGCGGTTACGAGCTGAAAAAGGCAGTGAGGTCGATTAAAGACGCTTGGAGGAATCTTTTGTGCGCAGAATGCTGGGCGAGACGACCAGATGTATTTCGAAAGACGCTGACCCCCGCACCACGATGAATATGATAACCCTCTTCAGATCAGTTCAACATCTAGAGGTCCTCATTTTCAAAACGTGCGGTCAGGTTGTTATGGAACGGACATACCTTTTGGAGTTTCGAGGGTAGTTACTGGAGTTTCGCTAAGAGTCTCTGCCGTTGATCACATTACACACGACTTACCTCATAGCTGTAGCGAGGGAGATGTTTCCAGTGGTTACTCGAGAACCTCCAAAAAGGCAGAGCATGACCTTGTAGTTAATTTGGTCATTTTTTAGGTTCTTCTGTTCCATCCAGCCACTGAGGCTTCTGCTTGCGGCCGTCACAAAACCTGCACTTCCCGACTGCTGTAGCGGCATTGTTCGACCAGTGCGTACAGGTACGGTAGGAAGCAGGGTCGGTCCTATCGTTGTTACTTTTTGAAAAATTTTTACGACCCCCTCCCCCAAGGTGGATTTGATACGACCCCCTTTTCCACACCTCGACCACCAGGTGGGCGGGGGGGGGTGGGGGTATATAGCTATTCTGAAACAGTAAAAATTCACCTAAACCCTTCAAATTCCCACCATTCCACCATTTTGGGGTATATACACGCGCTGAAACGGCGAATTTTTCTCCCACGCGCTCCCAACTCCCAACTTATACGACCCCCTCCTCCAAACTCAACCAGGTACAACCCCCGTTGTTACTAGTAACAACGGTTTGACCCTGGTAGGAAGTAACTTACATACCGAACTCGTGTCGCTCCAGTCAATTCATCAATTCATAAGATCAATTTATAAGAGAAGTTTGGCGGAGCTTCAACACTTCTGCGGAGGAGCGAAAAACCTCTATGGTATGAAACATCACGGTGTGCCGTCTTCATAATAGATTGGCATATGCAGATTGGCTTTCATATTAGTCTTTCATACGGACGACGTCAAGAGAATTTGTAATTGGATTATAGGTTCGAGTTCAACGAGGTCTTCGATGATCGTGGACCATCGCGACGTTGTCACCAATACTGGTCGGTAAGGGTCTTGCACACTCAAGGCGAGGGTGTCTAGAAAAGTGTCCTTCATTGATTGAATCGATTGTAAATGTTTGGTGGTTGCTTCAGGTCATGCAATTACTGTAGGGCATTTTGAGATCGCCAGCGAGAACAAATGGCTTCATATTTTGTAGACGGTGCAAGAGCTTGTTCTAACTTATGGAAGGCCACCAAAAGTAAATATTTTGCTGTGAAACTTCCATCAACGACAGAAGCCTATGTGAAGACAAACTGGCCAATGTTCGCCACGGGCACGAACTTTTTTGTCCCCTTCCCACCTAAACCACTTCCAACCTCCAAAGTGACTGCTACTACGAAATGTGATTCTTCCACGAAACCCGTTACAACAAACTGATAATACACTGATGTGCGGCTAGCAAGAGTCACCAGCTTCACGCCTTCCCGATCGGAAGCATTCTCAGAAAGAAAAGGAAAAACTTGTGCAAACTGAACTCACAAAACTGTCGCTTTCATACGGGGATAACGTTTCATCTTCGAAGTACACTGAAATGAGAAATATAAAAAAATTCATAGATACTGTATATGGAAAAGATTGCTAGATATGGAGGGTTATTTTCTGTCATGAAATTCGGCATCAATTAGGATAAGGTCCAGGGTCAAGCGAGGCGTTGAGGAAAATTTGGAAATACGACCCCCCCCCCCCCACCACCCTCCGCCGGAGGCCGAAGTCCATGAAACAACCCTCTTCAAAAGCCGAACTATGAAAAGGTTGAAAAGCTTGTTTAATTCTCCCCCAAAACTGCTCATAAAAAAGCCCTGCTACCCCACCGCCCACAAAAAAATTCGTTTAAGAAGTACAAAAGTGAAAAAGTCAAAGAATAATCATTATTGATGAGTCCTACCAAACGAGCAAACGAGAAACAGACCAGAAAACGACAAACTAGCCACTAAAAATGGCATACCATGACAACATCTGTTCTTTATTTATTTCCTCCACAAGACTTACCAAATTCTAGTACTACACAGATTATGGTTCTCAATTTACACGTCCCCTTTTCGCTCAAAGGAAGCCTTGTAAAAGCCTTCGCCGGCTGTGTGTACGTGGTTATACTTTGCCGTACTTGTGACACGCTATTTACTATGGAAATTTGAACAAATATTCAAATGATTATAACTTTCTTCAAAGTTAACGAATTTTCAATCTGAAAGCTGATTTGGGAGTTTTGTGAAGAGCTTTTTCTAATCAGTACTGAAATTACAGGAAGTTATAAGAAATAACAAATTTAGATCAAATAACGAGGAAAATTCGAGACGAGCACGAGTTTTTATTTTTTTTTTTTTTGCTGTTTTGTAGTGTTTACACTTCCTGGAGCAACAACTTTCTTCATTGATATATCTTCTTAATAATATTTGCAGAATTTTTCCAATTATATTCTTCTTTTATATAGATTTTTGCTCTACCGAACATTGCTAAAAGCAGCTCTTAAGTTTATTCTCAGATTCAAATATTCCACAGTACTTTGAGGTTTCCTGCAAAATCATACTTTCGATTTGTAATTTAATTTTGTATATTCTGATTGTTTTACTCCAAGCCATCACTTTCTCGTCTATTACTCAGCCAATCTGTCATATATATAGTATATTATACCCTTCCAGAAACTTAGATAGAATTGCTCTATCTTAAACTCCACTAATATACTTTGGCTCTTATATAGTACGTCCAGTAGTAAAAAATCGGCCACGGTAGTGAATTTCACGATGCCTTTTTTTTTTGTCGTCAAAAGTACTTTTCGTTCTTTACATTGGCACTATTTCAACGGCTGTATATCCTTTTAAGGGCGATTATGTACTAAAGTAAGAGCAGATTTGAAATCATTGCTTTTCTCTTTCTAAGAAAAGTGATTGATTAGCGTTTCTCAACTTTAAAGGTTACATGTTTATAAATTTAACCCTGAAGAGTCCGTTAACGCAATGTTGAATGGTGTTGTCCATCCTTCACGTCGAAATGTCCTACTTGACACTTTCAGAATTTTCTCTCGATTGTTCCTGAATTGAGGTTGTTTGTCCAAGGAGCCGTAGTTGAAGCGCGCGCAACAACTAGACCCTTTCTCGGATGCGCCGTGTACCTCACATCCCTTCAGATTCGGGGTCTTACTTGAAAGATGAAATATCTCTTGGAAAGCGTGCGAAATTCAGATTCTTTAACTTGTGTGGTGATAAAACACTGAAGTAACTAAGAATTACCGGACGCCTCAGAATCACGAAAATTTTGTGTGGGTGAAATATCATTTTCATTGGAAAATCCTCTGGCCTGGCATCGACTCATCCTTGATATTTGTCTTCCGACGGTGATGATCCCACTGCATCAAAATGGCTCGATCTCTTCCACCCAGCGGGCCAATACGACCCCCCCCCCCTGCGACGTGTCGAGGATTCCTCAACGCACGCTTGACCCTGTATGCACGTGATGAGGGGCCAAAATAAAGCGATGCTTAACTTCATTCTATACGAATCGTAGAACATCACATGGAGGCTGGAAATAATTCCATGTGTGAACCTACCCAACTTTTAAGCTTCCACGATTGCGCATCGCCGTCGCTGATCCGTGTTACTATAGAACCTCACAATGATCAGGTATACCGAAGACTAGTGGAGACCGAAAGAACGAACGGAGGCCAGCAGCAGTGGCGTACGGCAGGCAGGACTATGGTGGAAATGAAAAATTTTTCAAGCGCTAATGTTGCTGATACGGAGGTGGCCTACCTTAGGCTGCGCTCACAGTCTTCGAAGATAAAAAATAGTGGGTCGCCTATACGGAAAATCTTTCCGCTTTCCACAGTGCGAACGGCCTGACCGTTATATAGATTACAAGTGCCCACTATAATCTAGTGATACCGGTTCCCGCAGACAAACCGATTCGCGTCCTTCAAAACGGAAACCTTATCGAAACGTCCAACACCCTTGGTAGTATGCTGATCAAGAAGAAAATATACATGAATGGCAAAAAATTTTATTTGCTATGGCACAACTTCATACTGACGTTCGACATACAAGTGCTGCTGTAATGAAGTTCAACAAAAAATATCCAATAAATGTTCCCGCCAAAAGCAGTAAGCAGGCCCTTCTTCATTTCCTCAAACAGAAGCAGCCCTTCTTCATTGTCCTCACTGTCCTCTAGAATAGACGTCATCTCAAGGAAGGGCTCTACGTTTACGCTCGCTCCTGCTGAGTTCCAACATAAACCGATCGATTAACTGATGATTATTTCTACAGGCACAGTTAGTCTCAATCCACTGATTTGAAAAGGAGCTTTTACTAGCGTAGATAAGGTCCGTAACCAAGAGTCCTCCACGACTCCCATTGAGCTCGTACCGTGCCGGTTCTAGTTCCCTGGATCTCCGAGCCGTGGGAGAAGCGTATTATCTTTTGATTTTAAATAACTCTATATATTCTGCTAGGCTCCCGCTGGATTGTTCAATGTGTAGCTAATTAAGTTTGATGTGAGAGGCGCTACTCGTCTTGCTCTCCATCCGTAATCTTGATCGACGATAAAGACAGGAATTGGGGATAGACCATCCGGCACAACCGATCACTGCACACCCAGCCAGTTTCTAAGAGAACGAAACTGTTTTTCAGCTGCTAATACAGGCTTGCCAATAAACCACAATCGACCAATAACAATGAACCTGAAGCTCGAGGAAATATGAAATTTTATCTAATAGTTTTTCAATGCTGAAATCAAAAAATTTTATATAACAATATATGATATGATAATATAATACATATATATTTTTCAATAATAAAATTCAGGAAATTAAAATTGTTTCCGATAATATAGTATATTTTTCAGCGGTGCACATGGGCTGGCGCTTGAGATGTTTCTCTTTCTTCTTGTTTTCAAAAAATTTGCAAAGCATTACGTATTATACCGAAGTAGCACGCCAAAGAATGACCGAATGAATTCAGCTTAACTTGTTATTTCGCCCTTGCAGAGGACTAACCCTCAAATCACTCAAACTCACAATTGCCTGAAAGACACGCTGCAACTGTCCATGAAAAAGTAATCAAATGTTATACAAGAAGGCCGGACGTGAAATAAGTGTTTCCAAACGAGCGCCTTTTGATCAATTCGGCACCTAATTCTACAAAAACCGCCAAAAACTTCGTTGCAATTTGCGGAAATCCGCTTTAAAAATCGACTGTTGCTCGTATTTAAGAAGACGAAAAACACATGGTTGAAAGGAGATCTCTACTAACATGGGCTGACTCGTCATATATATGAGCGGTTCCATTTTGCGAATTAGATGGACAGAGATTGGACAACGATCCGTTTTTAACATTTTCAGCTCAATGTGAATTCAAATTTTTTATCTTTATTTTTTATCAGATTACTTTTCTGATGAGGAGAAATTCAAGAAGATGGGTCGGATGGAAAGCCCTATACTAGCACAATTTGAGCGAGATTTAGGAAATATGAGAAAGAGCCGATACTGATGTCTCGAACTTCGGCGGCTTCTCCTTAGTGGTTTGGCGAGCATTCTGTAGCGACGGAAAGATTCAACTTATTTATTGAAATTTAATATCAAGTATTCCCCGTTGCTACAGAATGCTTTTAAAATGAAGAAAAAAACTACCAGTCTATTCAGTAACACATGGATCCCATTCATTAAGAAAATTCCAAAGTAAAAAGTGTGAAAAGTTTTGATGTCAAATAGGTATCACAAATGTTACCCTTGTCAATTTATTAGGTTGGTCCATAAGTCTTGCAACAAATTACATTTAATGCTAGAAAATTTTTGTGAGAACTCCGAAAAATCCGCAACATGTTTGCTGACGTAGCATCCACCTTTGCAATTTCAGCCAACCGTCCAGCTCGTTGTCTCGCTACTTGTTATGGATATTACACCGATTTCGCGAAAAGCTCTTCGTGCCCTTAATTTTTACGAGTACTGCTTGGAATGTTCCGCAAGTCATGCTACACCAAGGATTAGCCAGAAGATGGGCGAGGGCACGCTCTCTCAAAATCACGGTGCACGGCGCTTCACTCTGCTCAGCGTTGACTTTTTTATTTGAAGATAATCCACACTCCAACCACCCCGTGACTGACAATCACGATGCTCTATCTGACGCCGTTGAAAAGGGATCTGGATAGAGTATCGATCATTTGCTAGAGCGATTCCGATGCGACAAGGAGACAGCACTGTGGCATCTCCAAAGACTTGTGAAGATCCGAAAATGTAGAGTTTGGTCCCCACGTGCCTTGAGCCCGATTCAGCTCCAAACACGATCTGACATCGTTATGTTCAAGTCGACTTACTATGGATTCTTCGATTGACCATCCATCACATTTGCCGAAGATGAGGAGTGGGTACAGTGTGCTAACAAATAAACAAGCGGCGTAGTCCAGCTCAAACGCTTCGGGAGTTCTTACTGCTCAAGTTCAACCTCGTCCAAGTAGGGCCTTCTCGGATTTTTGGTGGAACACGAGAGGAGTTGAGCTCTGGAAACCCTTCGTGTAGATGTCGCAGTCAACGCGAAGTCAACCGTCCACAGCTCGAATTGCAACGCTTT